GTAGGTACAAAACAACAATACCAAATTGCACACACGTATTCTGTTTCAATATGGGAAAGCAGCTAAAATCCACAGAAACTCAGAGAGATCATGGCCTGTATCAAAACCAACATATGCTTTGCCGCTGTTTACATAGAGAGAACAGTAATATCCAAGCACCAAGTTTGTTGCTTTTGGTGAAACACAGAAATGGAGCAGGTTTCGGAAGCCCTCACATGGAAAAGGCAGCATACTAAAAGCATCCATAAGCACATCTTATGTATTAGACATTATCCATCCAGAAACACCAAGCATCCACATTTCTGAATAAAAATTGTACTTCCCATATGTGCTGAGATTTTAGTCTTCTGGGAGTCCATTTTACCAGCTCTCCAGCCTGTCAGCAGAAAGGCTTAAGTAAAAAGCCAGTGTTCCTAACATTATGAAGTAGGATAAATGTATAAATCTCGAGATTCAGTCATAAACCCCCTTTACATCATAAAGGGGAGAGTGGGGCAGGGATAAAACCAAGGTCACAAGTATCCACCCACGTCTTTGCACATCACCTACATGTTTTCCATTTCAAAATACTGCAGTACACTTACCCTTGAATATGACAGCTAACTTCATTACAAATAAGACCATCTGTTTTCAGCTTTATTCTTCCCAAAAATAAAAAACCACAAATTTGTGGTGTGCTTCATATTTGTTGCTTTTACATCTCACTGAACTCATTGTTGAATGTACACACTGAAAGAAAATTAGCTACCTCCTTTGAAAGGGAAGTGTTATTATAGAGATACTGATTTATAAGAGACAGGACAAAGGGTGTCCTGTGCTGACAGTAGTGTGACTCTCTTGGTATTGTATGGGATACAGTTATATACAATCCAACTCACAGCCACCTCCACTATGAACTTCAAAACACAAGTTGCTACTGAAGAGACATGGGTATGTTACAAGTTCAGAAAAATCACACATTTCAAGACAGTGTTGAGTCTACTCTTCCCCTGCTGGCAAGCAGCATGTTTATGGCAGACCTGAGTATGGGAATTATTTCACACCTTTACATACTTAAGGGAAGATATAGGCCAGATGACAGAACATACTCTGAAACAGCACAGAATTGGCAATCTCAAGATATTTACAGGCAAAGAAGCATATCGCACCGTAATTTAAGTTATTGCTTCTTGTGGACAAGTGTGGTATTCCTTGATCAAGACACAGGACTTGTTTGGTGTTTATTTTCCCCTTCTGAAGCACAATGACTTGGCAGCCCTGTGAGGACATTTTTAAAATGAGGATGTTGCCTATGACTAGAGCTATGCCTACAGCATGGTCACCACCAAAGGACTGACAAAGCTGGTGACAGAAAGCTTACTCAGGTGAGTTTCCACAGGTGTTTTCAAACCCAAGCATCACTCTCGTGCTTCCGGGGTCATTCCAGATTTGGTCTGTGCTACAGGTTTTGATACTAGAAAATCTCCCATAGTCTTTCAGAAGAGATTTATGGATACCAAGAATGCCAAACTAAGGCTGACCTCGTATCAGTTCCTCAAATAATCCAAGCTATTGCTGCTCTACTGTGCTGATGGAAGCAGCAATGGACTCTTGCCTGCAAAGCCACTCATCGGTGTGATGCTTCTCTAGCACTGTTCCTGAACACAGGACAACAGTGATAACTGCTGGGTCTTTAAATCAGCTACCTCCATCAGAACACAGAAAATTAAGGTTTTGGAAAAAAACAGTAAATGAACTAGGAGTATGAACTACCAAAACTGAGTTCAAGTTGTAAACAGATTTATGTTTATAATATTTACCTACTAAATCCCCATGCCAAAGGTTATCTATGACCTCGGAAGCACAGGACACCAAAACACTGACCTACCCCCTTTACAATATTACAGGTGAGTTTCTGTAGGCATGAAGCCAACAGCAAACGTTGAATCAATGCAAATGCAAAAGCTTTACTTTCAGAAGATATCAGGAATTGAAAACATTGGAAAAGTGTGCCTGCAGGCAACACCACTACTGGAATATTACAGGTGCTATAATTCCTCATGCCCTTCCTCCCTCCCCCCAGATAATACAAGGCAACACAAATATTCTCATCAAAAAAGGACTCTGTACAGGGAACAACTGTACATTTGATGTGACTACAGAATTGAATGTGTGACAAAATGATTCTGCTCCCACTGAAAAAGAGAATACAACAGGGCCCCATAGTTACAGGTTCAGCTGAAACCAGTGATGCAAGCCCCAAAATGTAGAAACTGCACTGGCAATTACGACAATTATCTAGTTTGGACTCCTTTAGATTTGCAGCATAACAAAGGCATTTTACAGAGCAACATTCAGGAGAAAATGTTATCAGGGAAGAGCTGCTCTTCAAGCAAGACAGAGTTTAGGAACATGCACTGCATTTGTTCTCCAGATAGCAGCAGTTGCTCCTGTTCTTTGCCCTTTTTGATATGAATCACAGTAGCAACAGAGAGAAATGTATACTTAAACAAAAAAAAAAAAAAAAAAAAAAGAAAACCAGAATTATTTATGTACAAGGAAAAACGTTCAAAGTGTTGTACAACTTATTTTGACTACTGAAACTCACTAAAAATGTTGTTGCAAAATAAATATTCATAAACTCTTCCCTGTGCTGTGAAATTCAGAAACTACTACAATTACTTCTCTATATAAAATGTATGCTTCTAAGCCCTGATATCTGTTCCAGTTTATTGTCTTTTTTCCCTGTGCTTTTTTCAACTGTGATACTTTATGGGAACTAATACTTATCCACAGTTTTACTTGGTGCACCCACCCAGAGACATCCTGTGTTTTGTGGAGCCCTGGTTATACCAGTATAATACAGTAAAGTAATAATAAATTAAACAAATGTAGATGCATTTAAAAAAAAAACAAAACCAAGCAAAACAAACCATGCTGTCAAAATGCTGGTCTCCACATGAAGAGACCAAGGGTTTAGATGCAAAGTACTACAGATCCTGCCATCAAAAAAAAACATTCAAACAAGGAAACATGAACTGGCGCATGTTTTAAAAAATGAAACACAAATCCCACCTCGATGTTATCCCGCCCATGCCTATAAAATCCTCTCGCTGTGCCCATATTTGCAGTTATTCATTTACACCTCAGGAGGCAGCCTGGAGATGAGAGTAGTACAATAAAATAATTACCTGAAACATCTTTAAAAAAATACCCGTTAAACAAATTACCTTAACTGGCAGCACTTAAAATTGGTAATTCTTTTCTTTTTCCTATTTTAAAAAAAGTTGCATAGCTGTAAGATTTTGCTTTGCTGCATTTTTTTTTGTCGTTTTTACTCACAAGCAGTAAAAGAGAAGTTTTAGTTACTTAAATAGCAATACAATGTGCAGATTTCAACAATCCATACAGCTTGATCAATATAAATTAGTTACCTGTCTTGGTTTTACTCTTTGGACTGCATTGTGACAAAGGTTTAGTTACAAAATTTTGAAATACAGTATTCCTACGCAGAGCAGTTTATGTTTTCTGTTCTTGAAAAAAAGTGAAGAACGTAAAACAGGGTGTGAATTCGGTAAATTAAGGTCACACTGTTAGATTTTATTTAGTTTGCCATTTACTATTCTTCAGCCAATGAGAAGGTGAAAACGTTCCCACTCAAATCCGGGGCCGTCCTCCTGCAAGGGTCTCAGAGAGCACGGATCGAACGTCTCCGCTTCCACCCGAGGCGGTAGGAAACACGTCCAATAACCAGCTTCTTCACAGAACCACGAGTTAGGCTGAAATTAGGAACTTTGGCCTTCGATACAAAATAGTGTCAGTAATGTCTGTGGGGAGTCGATTGTTACAGGATGTGCAGCATTTTCAAAATCCCTGTGTGTCCTTTGCATGAGTGTTTGGTATACTGAGCACTACTGGCAAGTAACCGGTGTCTGCGATGCTTTCTCCGTGTCACTGTCCATCTTTGCCTTTTTCAGCCACAAAGAACTGTAAGTCTCAAGCCAGGCACGCTGTGTTCAGCAAGGGAACCTCACATCTCCTATGTTTTCTGATCAGTGGAAGCAGCTGTCGGAGAAGCAGAAGACAAAGTACCATCATTTCAGCTCTTTCAGTATAGCACACACTAAAACAGCATGAGCACAACCACTGTGTTTTCCTTCCCCTTCTTCCTAAGCCCCCACATCTCTGTGGTGGAAAAAAAAGCAAATAGAATTTAACAAGATGCTAGACACCCATGAACATGTACAAAGGTGTTCATGAACAGCATGTGGGCTTCTGCCACCATCAGGAGTTGGGAGAACTGTAGGAAACATGTTTGTTTAATAATTTCAGGTTACACTGCCCTGAGGTTAAAATGATTATCCCTATAGCAGGATACTTTCCTTCAGGTTTTCTTAGCTACCCCTGCAACACAAACTCATTAAACAGTATGAAACAAATGCACAAATAAATGCCAGTAATGAAGACTTTAGTTTTTAAATTTTCTCTCAGAACAACAAAACCAAACCCTCAGCTGCCAGCCAGAATTTCAGATATCTCTGTTTTTCTAAGACTTGCGATGATTAGTGCGTTTTGCAATGCTTAGGGGCAGTAGTTTAATGTAAGATACAGTATTTGAGCGAGTCAACTAAAAGAATAAACCTATCCTTTAAACCTTTGACAATGATTGCTGATCTGCAATCATTAACACAAAACATAAGCTGGAAACATGTTGAACCTCTGTGAGATGGGATGGCTAGAGATATGTCAACATTTATTTATTTATATATTTTAAATGTTCTGGAATGCATTAACATGAAAGGAGTTTTGAAAAAACCTAGTTTCAGCTTTTTCATATGATTCCAAAAGCTTTCCATCAGAAATAAATGCCAGTACTCATGGAACAACCCAAAAGCACACAACTGTATTATTTTAAGTTTGTTTCACTTCCATGGAAAAATACCCTTTAAAAGTTAATGCTAAAGCTTTATTGGCACTGACTTGCTGCTTTCCAGTACTAAAACTGGAACACATCATTTCAGACCTTGCCATGTAAGGATGCAAAAACCTTTTACACATTGCAATATATATCAATGCTTAACAATTAATGTTGCAGTTCTGGGACAAAGTATGAAATTCACAAATGTAAAAAATTAGCATAAAGATTTATTTCAGATAATCAAGACATTTATTGTTGAAATGTACATGTCTAAAAATAAGCATTACCTAAGAACATGAATCTTGTCTTAATCTGATGGATGCTCAGGGCAAGACCTATTTACTTCAAACCATTCATCTATGCAGCTGTTGGATACAAGACAAAAATGAAAACAATAGACATGAATATCAGTAACATTTAGCAGTAAGATATAAATATAAATTGGTTTCTCATATTTTCAATGACTAGTAGGATTTTATATTATACAAAGAAGTATATGTATAGACACATATCACTGGAAAATTTAATAACCCCAAACCACAATAATATTTGGATGTTAAACACTGTTGAAAAACTATATTTTGTGTTAAAATTTTCTACAGAAGCATTTTACAATCCAGCTCTTATACACAGGTTGCTTCACTACTAACACTATAATCTTTCTTACATAATTCATTGACATTTCATTTCATAGTCACAGACACTTGTGAAACCAAAATATGAAACAGGTTTGAGAAGCATTCCTCCCTCTCCTCCCCATATCTATTAGCATTTGACAAAACTTACACACATACAACCTAAGCTCCTTAGCTGTGACATGCACTCCTTCCCCAATACAGGTGATTTTACAACAATAACACTATAGTAGGGAAAATTACTTCAACTAAGTTGGTGCAGAAGCAGAAAGATGTCATTTAATAAAACATTTTTAGGGTTGCTGCTGTTGTTCCTTTGTCATTTGTTTTTTAAATGTAAAAAGCAACTAAGATTTAGAGCTCCTTTAAGCAGCCCTTAAGAGGAGTTACCCAGTAAATGTAACCTTCTGAAATTTTATACCCATCCTAAGGAATACTTGCCCTTTATGATATATGCAGAGGCAAGGCAGCCGTGCTATAGTATCTCCTTGCTGCAGCTCTTCCAGGCATATTGCACACTCCCCAGCATCTTTACTCAGCACATCCTCTGAGGAAAGAGCACAAAGTTAAATGGTTAAACAAGCAAAAAATTCTTTATTCTGAACATCAAGCACAGTTACAGAAGATGGTATTTCTTGTCCTCCTGAAAGCCTTGTCAAGGTAAGAACCAGTGACACACCAGCTGACTGAAGATTCATGATGGAGTCCTCTTGGGAGCTCAAATTAAAATATGGTTATCATTCAGTTTCTTGCTTGAACACCACCACCATAGTTCAAAATGAAGTCCTGTAGGAAGATGCCTATATGGAGAAAAGGGGTACCCATAACCAACAGTTAGTATTCCTTTGGAGTTCATACTCTTCCAGCAGGTCCATAACCCATCACACAGGCTGCACCATCTGAGCTTAGAAACCTGCACTCTGAACCACACAGACACACATAGTACTTGCTGACCCTAACAGCTAAACATCCGAGAGGTTGGGTTCTTAATACAGATGGTATATAATACCTCCTGGATTGCTCTGAGGATTCATGCTAGGTGGGTTTTTCTTAGTTGTATCTTCTTCCCCATGCTCAGTTTTCACTATGGAGGTTAAGTTCAAGCCGGAACATACCATTTCTCCGGACAAGGCACTGTAGGTAAATAACGAGGCAAAGTTCTTCCTAACTTTTAAAGTCTTAGCCTATCATTTGTTTTCTCTACTCTCCTACTCATCTCTCTTCGATACATCTGGCTTGCTTTTACCAGCCTTGCTGGTACTCATATTTCACACCTTCATCCTCTTCTCACAGTCTCATCCACCCTTTTTCTCAATGTAAAGTATGCAACTGTTAGCTGTAGGAATGGGAGACTTCCATCAGGGAAAGATCAGTGCTGTATGGCTCTAATGACCCTAAACTCCTGGAGACACTGAATTTTTTGCAGCATTACCAAGTCCCATAACAAAGGAAGAAAAAGTAAGTTACTAGGAATGCAAAAGAGTTGGCTTTCAAAAGAAGTTTCTGGGAAAACATTATTTTTAATAAAAACCTCCTCTCTTGGACACTTCTCTTAGCCAGAATGTGGGATGCAGAATTCAGTTTTAGCATGAAGCAAAACAGAAGATCATGTAAGGGCCCATTTGCCAGAAGCAGATTAAAAGTCCCAATTAGACACAACCTCACACAGTCCACAGAGCACTCCCAACAAGGGACCATGTAGCAACCAAGCTGGCAACCTCTAGCAGATCAGGAAGGTGCACACTCGGCAGAGTAAAGTCCATGTGTTCAGGTTTTCCTAGTTTCATGGGAATAGCTTCCCCTTCTTTACCAAAAGGAGCCTACAGTGACTGTTCATGAAGAGTATCATTCCCAGGTATGACAGAAAAACCAGAGGTTCTATGCTGTTCTCCCCAGTGGCTCCTATACTCAGGGCTGGCATTCCAAACACAGAAAATGACAGACAACTAAAAAACTATCATAGCAGCAAAAAGTGAAAGGAAATTAGGTCTATGTTGTTTCCCTTAAATGACAGCAAGCTGTCTTGCAGGTGCTTGTGTTTCTAAAACAGTGCTTATTTCAATCTCTGCTATATTAGTTGGTTATGCTAAAAATAATACTATATAATGCCATGCATGTGGCACCTTTATGCAGAGATGTGAAAGATGTCTGATATGAAGTGAACCGATATAAAGAAAAATATTTAAAACAAAACAAAAAACCCACCCCAAACCCACAAGCAATATATATCTACCACAATGAAGAAAAATGTATTTTACACATGGTAACATTATTGGTAGGCATCCTATCAAGAAATTGCTTCTGTTGTTCTATCAGAAGCTGTAAGCTTCTGAGGATATTAGGGGGACTTAAGAAACAAAGTAATTTAAAACAATACAAAAGGTTTTAGGAACTTGTCAACTTGCCCAGAAGAGGGTGCTAAGAATAAATACTTCCTTGAGGGTTTTTTTTATGGTAGATTTTTTTTAACAAAAAGAAATTAAAACAGCTGACACCAGGAGGCAAAGACTCTCCAGACAGCATTGTCCTGCTGCAGAGATACTAATCTCTGCCTGAGGCTCTCAGACACTACCCTCCTAGACTGCCTCTTTGTGCAAGAACTTTGCCAAAAGTCCTATGAGCAGACTTGTTCTCTTCCCGCAGCTAAGTTGAAGAAGAAGTGCCATTAATAATTCAAGTATATATCATGTACACAGAGCATACTTCATAAACGTAATTTTTTCCATGGAGTCTCTTTATCAGGACCCAAAAACGAATGGCACTAAGATACCTCCAGTGAATTAAACCAGTCCCGCTCCCTCAGCACTCTTGAGAGGGAAGCATTTAGTCAAGCTTTGATAACAGAAATTAAAAAGCTGTCTGATAAAAATACAATTTATAAAAGAAAGCATTCCTGTGAGCTGCTTTCCCATCATTCTCTACTGTACATATCTGGCTTATGGTGAATAAAGCACAATGCTTGGGTCTGAACTCCCGCTGAGCAATTTAACAAGGTTCTGCACCTTTTGGCTAACGTTAGGGCATGATGCCAATTTAAACATTTGTATCTCCCACCAGCCCTGGCCTAAGTGTCTGACACTTTTTTCCCCCCCCCAGTACTCCTGTACTCTCCTCTCTTGCCAATACTGGCTCTACCACACAAGTCCCTGGCAAACAGCTTGCCACCCTCCCTGGCTTCACCCCAGGTTTTCTGGTTGGGATAAGCCACCAGGCACACACTGGGCTTTGCCCAGTCATGCCAGAGGGAGCTGGTGTGAACACTGATGACGGCTGGCGTGGACTGGGCCTCGGAAACACAGTGGAGTTCTGCCACCCCTGCAAAAGGGATTTTGTTAACAGGTTTCAATGCTCCTCTTCCTCTAGACTAACAAGGAGTCAGCATTCCCTACTTCTTGTGTTAACCTCATGAATCCTACTAGGCTCTCATGCATAAATACTGAGGGAACGAGTACAAAATACCCAACTGCTATAAATGCCCACATGTAACTTGGCACTGCACATTAACAGAGTCCAAACCTATGTAATTAAGCTCATAACCAGTTACACACATAGAGTGATGACAGCAAAACCAAATCCTTCCTGGCCCTACGACACTTCGGGTCTGACTACTTTTTGACCATTTTAGGCGATTCGGATCATCAATCCCAAATAAAGAAAAAGGAGTGAATAATCCTGTTAGACCAGGATCCAGTCAGAATTTGTTCATTGTTTCATACAGCACTCTCCTGTACAAACACTGACTTATATCAGAAGGAAGTCAGTTTAAGGGCCATTTAACAATGACTTTTTAAACGTATCTGTTACGGAAAAATCTGTAAATCATTTTGCACAGAACCACTGCAGTCTGAACAGGTTTTTTTGTTTTCATCTTTTCCTGCAGCAGAGTGATTCAGCAGATACGCATTATTTTTTATTTTTTCTCTCACCAAAAGAAAGAACAGTAAAACAGTTTAAAATTTCATCAATGCTATGATGAAAACATTTATATGAGTGTATTACCTAAATGGAAGTGGGAAGAGGAAATAAGCAGAGGCCACATTTTTCCATTTCACCCACATGTGGGTGCATACACAAACACTCACCACACCCCCACATCCATCTGCCTTGCACCAAATAGAAGGTAAACACTCCTCCGCCTTCCCAGCTACTTGAACAAGTACTCACTAGCCAAAGACTGGTGTCAAAGATGAAATCTGGCAAAAGAGCGTAGTATTTCCCTCATGAGTCTGCTCAAGTACTTCTTCCTCCTCTCCTCTATCCCTGGTTACTACTACCACTACTACTATTGTTTTAACTTATGGTTGTCAGTAATATTTCCTCTTCAGATTCTGCTTTAACTCTACTGGAAAATAAATTCTACTCCACTCCTGCATCTACAGCAAAATAGGTAGTACTGAATTAAAATGCAATCATCCTGGCAATTATGTACATACTTTACCCTTCAAAAACTTTTTCTATAACTTTTTCAAATACATCCAACAACTACAAAAGCCACTAACTCGTCCATGATTAGAATTATAGGCAATGTCTGATTAAATTTTCTTTAAGGACTGCAAAAGCACATGCAACACACACTTTATGGATCAAGTCATTACAATTCATGCTACTGCTTTTTGCTTTTCCTTTTAAAACACAGATATAGCCCCAGGCTCAAGAAACACCAAGTAACAAATCATGGAGATGCTGATAGTATTTGGGGAGATATCGCTTTACAGCTGCAGTATTTTCTCTCTAGACCTTCACTGGAAACAGAACACCAAGTTAGAAACACCTTTAATTGAATCAAGTATGATGATTTTTCAAAATATCTGTATGTTTTTCTAAAATTTAAAACCTCAAACATCTGTGGAAGCTTCTACCACAACTAACTTAGCAGTGAAGGAGACCAGAAAAGTCCACCCTTCCAGGAATATAACCAAAACTTAATTAAAACATACCTTTTGAACAGTATCTTATCAGCACTAAAAATGGTAAAACAAGGGCCATAAGAAGTTTAAAAATATTAATAAAATTTCATTACATAGTATATATTATCTGTTACACATGAATTTTTGAAGCTGATGACTAAAAACTGCCTTAGTAAAGTACTAGAGACTGTCTTACTTGTTTTTAAATGGAGTATGTAGAGTTCCAGACATCTAGAAGCCAACATTTTTTCTTCACATATACAGCATAAATTCACTCATATTGCAGAATATAGTCTATATTTTTACTGATATCATCTTTACTTAAATCACAAGTAGTCAAAGAGGACCTGCACATTACACAGGTATCTAAATATTCTGTAGCCAGCAAGCCTGTGTGTATGTGATTAATTAAATGTTACTGACTTGATTCACTATATCTCTCTGGTTTCTCCTGCATCTGTGTTTCCCCCTCTCCATTTCTTTCCAGCTACTTCCTACTACACTTTCCTCCTCTTCATGCTCACTTTCCCCTCAAATGTCATTCTCTCTAGACCTGTATTTTCTACCACTCCTCCTACCCTCCATGATCTTATTTAATCAACTGCTGTAATGCAGGCACTGGAAAGGAAGAAGATAATAT